ATACCATCTCCTAGGGATAAGCAGGGGCCCTTGGTGGACAAAGGAGTAGCATAGCACTTCTGCAATCAGGTTTACCAAGAAGTTTAGAGCCTGGGAAGGGAGGTTCCCAAAGCCGTTCCCGCCCTCACAAACATCAGTGACCCCACGGGAATTCCAGGATGCCTGCATCACAGGCAGATGGACTCAACATTCACATACAAAGGACCCTGGAGTGCCTCCTTCTGCAGAAATAACTTTACAATTGTTTGCAGCACGAATTTTGCATTTCTTTTCACTTGATTGCTTCTTCAACTGCTAGAAATTATCTTTCATTTAAACTGAAGCTAATTTAAAGAATTAAATTAGATCCATGGTGAATCCCAACGACCCTGTTTTGCCCCACTTCTTTGCCCTTTTTTCTTCCCTGCTGCTTGCAACAGGGAAGGGAGGCCGCTTTCCAAATGGCCGGGTTCCTACCTGGTGGGGTTTCCCTCTGCCCCTCAGCGGGCCCACTCTTGCCTTGTAAGGGATGAAATGTTTACCACTTGCATCATCCCTGTCAACACATCTTTCCTGGTCTGCTACTTCCTTAAATAAAGCAACCTACAGGGGAGAACATGGGTCGGGATCTGGATCTGCAGCACAAGTGCCTGCCAGCAGCCTGCACACAGCAGGTGTGGGACCCTCCCAGCTTCGGCCCACAAACATCCACAAGAGCAATACTTTGTCAGAGCCCGGCTCCACCCCCGCAGCCTGCTCTCTGGCCACACATCTCCGGCCCTCCACTCTACCATCTCCTCCATCACCTACCACCTCTGCAAACCCCTGTCCTTTCCCTACACTGGCAGGAAGAGGAAGGACCAGCATTGGGCTCACTCCCTACCTAGTGAACCCAGGACGCATTTGGACCTGCCACACAGCCTGTACCTTGCAGCAGGGCCACCTAATCCAAAGTCCTTCTGATGTCACCGAGGTTAAGAAGTCCCTGGCTCGCTCATATTTTTCATGTCCTCAGCCTTCTATATCTGTGCATTTTGTATTTGAAGATTTATCCAACCAAGGATTAAAATACTGGGAAAAAAGTGTGTCTGTGCTGAACACGTACAGACACTGGTCTTGGTCATTACTCCCTACCCCACACAGTACAACTATTCCCATGGTGTTGGCATTGCACCAGGTGTGCTGTCCCCCAGGATGGGTTCAAGTACATGGGAGGACGTGTGCAGGTCCCACACAAACTGTACTGTTTTACAGTAAGGACTTGAGCACCCAGACTTTGGTACCTGTAGGCCCTAGGACTATCCCACGGATACTGAGGGACGACAGAGCAGGACCAGAGCTGCAGCCTCCCTGTGCACAGCAGCGCTCCTCTGCAGGGGAGCTGCAGGTTTGCTGTGGCAGTGGTTTCAAGATGTGCAGCACTGGGAAAGCTGGCTGGTTTTCAGACAACCCTTCAGCTGAATCAGAGCAGGATTTTGGAGGAAGACCAATTCCGTGTGCTTGCAGGTTGGATTCCAGGATGCTGGTTTTCTGAAGATAGTGGAGATCGTTGCTGTCATTACCACTCGATTCTGTCACCATGAAGAATGAACTCATCCTTCAACTGCAGGCCTCTGGAGACTCCAGGCAGAGGCTGGGGCTGCCAGGGGTGAAGTTCCCCTTGGGCAAAGCATCTTCTTTCAGCTGCCTTGATTTTTGTTCAAGAAAGTGGCCAATTTCCTCTAGAACTCCCCCCATACCTGATTCTCTGCAAACATAATTTATTTGCCAATGGACTTGGAACCTCATGGCAAAGCAGCATAAAGCTTAGAAAAACACGTTGACCTGCAGCTTCTATTTTTACACGGTATCCTGTTTCCACAGGGTGAGGCTGGTGGTTTCAAACTCAATTTAGCATTTAAACTAATGGTCTTTGTGGACCAGCAATTAGGGAGGAGGCCCCACCCTCCGGGTAGCTTGCGCTCTCGGACAGAAGATGCTCTTGGTGCTGGTGCTGCTTCTCATCCTGTGTCGGGGCCGCAGGGCCTGCTGTGCCCGGGGTCTGGGAAGACACTGCAGCAAGTCCAGATGCTGGCCCCAGAGCTGTCCTGGCAAGGACCCAAAAGCTTCCCGAGACTCCACAGCACACTGGGGGCCAAGAGGTACACAGCGAGGGGCAACAGAAGAACGGCCCCTTCCCCTCGGAGCCACGTGCCTCGGGCAGCCCCAGCCGTTCTGCCTGTAGCCACAGCGGCCAGGTGCTCAGGCCAGGCCCTGTCCGCCGTGGCCGCTGCATTCCTGGGACCAGGCTGTGGCTGCTCTTTTGCTAAATTTTCATTTTGTGTGGCGACATGGTTTAGGTACTGTGAGATCATGGGACAGACTTTGGGAGGTACAAAGAACGAAGCAAAGCTTCAGCCACTGCTCCCTCAGCAGGGACGACGAGTGCCTGTGCCCTCCAAAACGCAGGCTCCTCCCTTCCTCTCTTAACATCAGGTTCGCACACACAAGACCAGGTGCTGATGCTATTCCACACCTTTCTTTATCTGCTTTTTATTTAGTGCGCCCCAGAGAGCACCAAGTGCCCTGTTTCCAGAATCAGGACTTCAGGCCTGTTTCCAAAGAATCCAGGTAAATATCCCCACAGCTGCCTCAGCAGAGCAGGGAGCAGAAACGGGAGGAAATGCTCACAGCCCAGCCTCCTTCGGCACTCTGACCCCGTGTCCCCAGGCCCCTGGCACCCGCATCCTCTGCCGGAAGGGCAGCTCACTCTCTCACTCTCACTCCAGGGCAGCGTCTTGATGGCATTCCACAGTCCACCTTGGACTTCTACCCTTTCACAGGAAAGAAAAACTGACGCCCCTTGAGGTTAAGTAACTACCAGTCACCCAGCTAATGACAGCAGAACTGGATCCCAGGACTGGCTCCATTTCCAAAGTCCATATGCTGGCCAACTTATGCAGATGATGGTAAAAAGAAATTAAAAGAGAGAAAGACAACTCGGGGTGGAGTGCAACTGCAGGACAGAACACTTGCCCAGGAAGCCTGAAGCCCTGGGTTTGATCCCCAGCATTGCAAATAAAATAGCCTCAAGCTTTTTGCTCATAAAATAATTAAAAGGTCATCCATTGACTGCCACCCTCAATTTCCAGGCCCAGTTTTAAGAAGAGCTTTCAAGATATTTCTCTCCAGGGGCCTCATGAGTGTCACGACACAGGTGGGCCGAGTGAGGGACCTGGCCACCGGGAGGTCCTCATCCCGATGGACAGTGGGGTGCCGAGCTCAGCAGCTCTGTGGTGATCTGTGGGGCGTGAGAGCGGGGCTGGAGGCGCAGCAGAGAGTTGGGGGTGCAGGGACCGGGAGGAAACGGTGGTTAGGATTCACCCTTGTTTACTTCGGTGCTGAAAGGGCTTAATCTCCAGGAGCCGCGTGCTGATGAGGAGACGCACCTGACCCTGGTGGTGCAGACGGCTGCGAAGGTCCGGTGCGGGCCAGGCTCACCCTGTCTGCTGCGCTGCTCACCAGGGACTCCACTGGAGGGACTCGGGGTGGGGGCGCAGGTCTCCCGGGTTGCGGGGTGACAGGTGGCAGGGCTCTTGGCTCAGGTGGCTCCTTTTACTCCCGACAGCTGCACCTCCCACCCCTGAGGCTGGGGAAGCTGCCAACTACCTTCAGAGCTGCCCCAGAAGGGTATGACAGCACGTCCCCTCCTACCACCTCCACCGTGATTCCAGAGGCGCAGCCCGGCTGAGGGTTCAGCGCTGGCTTTGGACGCTGCTCCGCGTTGCAAGACCCCCCCCGCTCCATTGCACCTGGAAGCCCACACACAACTCATCCATTCCTGAGAACCGGGACCCAGAGCCAGACCACACCCCTCCCAGGTTCGTCCTGTGACCAGGTACTCCTGCTTGGGCTTCTTCCCTCACCCACCATGCGAGGAGGACACTGGGGACAGGCTACAGCCACGAGGACTGGGCACAAGAGCCTGCCTGCCAAAGTCACCTGTGCCTCTTGGTGCCCCTGACGCTTCCAAGGCGAGGACAGGGACCTGGCTCCTACTCTGGGAAGACCCCAGGGTGGCAGTGAGAATATTCCCAGTGCTGGGGCAGGGGGCACTGGGTCAGGGCTCCGTCAAGACACGGCCCTGACCTGGACAGGACTTCCCTAGAGGAAGCAGCCTCTGCCAAGCGGGCTCCCTCTGCAGGTTTTCCCCTTTTATAATAAAGGCCACTTTCATCCAAGCACTCACAGTAACAGATAAGAAGAAAGTAACGCTGAGCAGTCTTTGGAGAGGAAGTTCTCAGAGATATCTCAACAGGCTGAGTGAGCTCAAAGGGCTACTAAGAAAACAGATTTTGAAAAAACTGAAGATACCAGCAAACAAAACTCAGCCAGGGCTCTGCAGCGAGAGTGTCAAGAGAGACAAGTGCCCACCCTGCAGGGCTGGCTCTGTCTGCTCCCCCAGCCCAAGGTCACAAGCTTCTTAGGTGGAAACTGCAGAGCTCCAACCTGGCCTGATGCTGGACCTGGGGAAGGAAAGGCCGCATGCTTTCCAAACAGCTACAAAGGAACATGATCAGGTTTGAACTGTTTCCTGGGTCCAGGTCCACCCTTCCACGTCACTTAGGGGAACGGAAAGAACCGGGCCAGGATGAGAATGATGTGGGTCGAGTGTGGGCAGTCAAGCCTGCACCTGCCTGACAATGGGGACTCGAGCCCTGGGACCTCAGCCGCCACCTCTGCCGAGGGCCCCGCTGAACCCCTCCCCGTTGCCTTCCCGTCACCCCACCGCCAGGGAGGGGCTGTCACTGGTGTCCCTGGTGTGTTTTCCAAGTGTGGCCAGGTGTGGTCACATTCCCTTCATACCTTCAGGGTATCACCGAGTTCCTAGGGTGTCAGAGCTGCAGGATTCTCCAGGACCTGAGGTCCTGGTCACCACACAAGCTGGCGCGGGGCTGGGTGCCCCTTCTCGCCCCTGGCGGCCCCTCACAGGGCCCTTCAGACCTCCGTCACACGCCGCAGGGATGGGCCAGGCTACTCACCTGGGCGCTCTGCAGCGGCGGCTGGTAGCTGGACGGCCGGTAGAACCTCCTCTGGCTGACATCTGTGTGGATGTCGCCCAGGAACAGCTCCTCCACGAGGTGGTCCAGGCGGTGCAGGTAGTGCTTCTCCACACGGAGCAGCTGCAGCTCGTGCATGGCGAAGCGCAGGGCCTGGGTGCACTCGCAGCCACCCTCAGCCCGCCACAGGTCGTAGGCCGCGTCCTGCACCCAGGGGCCCCTGGCCACGAAGCCAGGGCACGTGCGGTTCACCAGCCGGCTGAGCCGCTCGGCCACCCTGTCGGTGTGACAAATGACCTGAACACCGTGCAGCTGGTAGTCGGCCTCGGTGCCCCCGCGGATGATCCAGGAGGCCTGGCGCAGGCGGATCTTGCCCCGGACGATGAGCGTGTAGGTGGGGTCGGTGCAGCGGTTGCTGCCGTAGTAGAACTGGTAGGCCTTGAAGGTGTTGTTGGGGTAGAACCGGTAGGACCTCGTGATGAACTCGGGCCCGGACCGCACCTCACAGCTGGAGGACACAGGAGGGGAGCCATGAGTGCACGCAGGAGAGTTGAGGGGACAAAACTCCTAGGAGCTACGTGGGATGTGCACCTGCATTCTACAGGGGGCCCGGGAACATACCCAGGGGCATACAAGCAGGGAGGATCAAACCCGGGCCCAGAGCCAGGCGGCCCAGCGTCATGACTGTCCCTGACTGTTGCAGAGGTGGCCCTGATGCACTGAGAACGTGTGTTTTTCTGGATAAGAGGGCCTCTCAAGCCCATTCCAGGAGCTCTGAGCTGCCAGGCCCAAACCAGCTGACTCTGGGAGAACATGTGTGTTTGGGTCCTCTCCCTAGGAGACAGGCACAAGACTGCCACTGTCCCCTCATGGTGAAGAGAAATCTGCTCTCTCCTTCATTCAAACTGTGCTTTATCTCTGGAAAAAGAGGTGACCAGGTGGAAGCAAAGTGAACAGAAAGAGAGCGGCAGGGGTCCCTGAGCCTCGTGCTGGTGGACAGTGAGCAAAGGCCTTTGCGGCTGCATAGGGCAGATGCTGGCTCTACATCAGAAACACTCAGACCCCGGCTTCCAGGCCGGATGGCTCGGGGCTGTAAGCCAGGCGCTCCGCCAGCTGCTCCAGGTGTCTTCACTTCCTGTGTCCCCAGCTCAGCCCCCAGCAGGGAAGAGAGGGGACCCCCCCATGTCACGGGCCAAGGGGTTTGCAGCCCCATCAAGACCCTGCTCCTGGGTCCTTCCCCACCCCAGCTCTCTGGGGATGAATTTCTAACTGCTCCTGTCCATGACTGACTGGGGGCTGGGCGGGGCTAAATCACAAATTCAAAGGCTAATGGGGGTTAGCAGGTGGGAGAGAGCCAAGGTGGGGACAGTCCGTCCTCCAAGGCTCAGTAATGTCGGGGACACAGGGCAGGCAGCACCCTGGGCATCAGTCACTGGAGCCATGGGGGTGACAGGACACCCAGACATGGAAGAGAGGAGAGTCTCAGGGGACAAGGGACTGAGGTCAGCAGGGTCTGGCTGGGAAAGGCCCTGCTCTTTATGTTTAAGCTTCTGCTTCTGGCCCACAGTGTGTGTCAGGCACTGCCACTTGGGCCACCAACACATCTGCCTGCCATCAGGAGCCCCAAGTGTGTGGCCAGCAGCTGTCACTCTCAGACCACCTTTCCTCTCACCTGTGGGCCACATCACAGCCAGAGGTCCCCCAGGCTGATTTAAACACTGCCGTTACAGAAAGCGCTCCAGCTACTTCCTGCCTCTTTGGTTAGGAAGCCTGTGAGCTGAGTGTGCTGCACACATCTGTAGTACTGTACCAGCTACTGAGGAGGCTGAGGCAGGAGTATCACTGGGGCCCAGGAGTTCAAAGCCAGCCTGGGACAACTTTCTCAAAAAAAAAAAGAAAAAAGCTAAAACTAAAAAATATAAGGGAGACTGTTCTTTTCCTCCCGGGCTGCTCTCCCAGGTTCTCTGTACCCCAGCTGGCCACAGAACTGTGCCAGGGGCTCTCCAGTCCAGCCAGCCGGTCTTGCTAGCTCCTCCCACAAGAAGTTCTTCCCCTAGTCTCTGGCTCTAGTCTCCCCTCTCTGCTAGACTTTCCGGTGCTGCTGGGTTCTTTCACATCTTGCCCCTGCATCTCTCATAACACACCCGTGCATATTTATTTGTAAACTCCCTGAAGATGAGCTCAGTCTGGTGCATGCACAAAATAGAGAGGAGATGTACGGAGCAGACACTGAGCAGATGAGCATTTCAAAATTATGACTTCACACGAAAAGTTTTATGCAAATAACTTACCATGCAGTTATTTTCAGAGAGCCGATCGTAGGGGGGTAATCTGGGTCTTTGTCATCTTTCTCCATATACATCTAATTCTCCCCAAGGTACCTGGAGCCTGCTACCCTTATCCCAGCAACAGCATGGGGAGAAGTGATCAGATCCCAGAGTTAGTCTTGTTAATGCTTAACAATTTAATGGAGGTGGGGGGGGGAATCACAATCAGCCTTTAGGCTATTTTTAAAAGCTCTAATGACAGATAAGCCAGAGCTCAAACTGGGATAAATCTCAGCTCCACAGCATGGAAAAGAATCTAAGGACTTCGCCCTGGCTAGAGAGGCCACTTTCAGCATACTCTCAGCGCCTTGAAGCTGTATATTAAGTTACCAGAGTATGGCTAGAATATTTAGACCATAAGAAGCTTGCAAGTCATGTTTCAGGGATGTGAAACTCAGGCGCTTAATTTCACTTGCTAATGGTTTCTTTCTATACACAAGTGGTCCTGGAATTCAGTAAACAAGGATCTATTCACCCCTGCCACTGGGTTCGCAGGGGCAGAAGACAAGCTCTGCTGGGGTGGGATTTCTACAGGCCTGAGCGGCTTCTCACCCAACCCTGACTTCAAAGAGCAGCCTGGCTCTTTGCTAGCATTTAGACAGAACCTTGGTCATTCTCTCTGCACCCCAGAAGCCACAGAGGGGGTCTCCCTCCCCCGAGCCACGCTCACCCCGTGGACACCCAGTGGCCCTCGATGGCCGGCGGCATCTGCACGGTGATCCGCGCACCATTGTGGAGATGCTTGAGCATGTGGTGGCACTGCGACTCCCTGAAGGCCCGCCAGGCACTCTTCTCCAGCGGCCGAGGGTGGGACCTGCTGTCCGGGTGCAGGAGGGCGGAACCCTCTCCCAGCCCTGCAAAGGAGAAGGGGGCTTGGTGGGGCAGCCACAGGAGCTGGAATGGCCTCAGGCTCTGCACGGGAGTCACCCCCACAGTGGGGGCGTCCTGGCGAGACAGCGGGATTGCAGAGACTCACAGCCAAGGAGTGCGGGAGCCAGCGGGCAAATCCACATGTGTATCAAACCTCAGGTCACGGAGGGGAGCGAAGTGGCCACACTCTAGGGTCACCGAGAAGGAAGGGACAAGCTGGAGGAAGGGTGAGGCAGGAGGCACTGGGAAGGCAGCTGTGCACATGATATATGGAGTGGGAGAGGCACAAGGAGGCCACCGCGAGACCCTGGCAGGGAGCCCAGTGTGTGCACTGCTGAGGCTGGAGCTGGGCAGGCCCGGGCTCCACAGCGAAGAGCTGAGCCCTGGGATGGCGTCGGGACCGTGGTGGGGTGGGCGCTGCCCTTGGAGGCGAGGAGCCCTTCTGCGGGGCTGGTTCCTTCCCAAAGGGACAGCCTAGCCGCTCCAGCCTCTGGCTCCCCATGACCCTTTTTCGCTGTTCCTGCTTCTGCCACTGTGCCACCCATCATGTGGCATAACCAAGGTGTCTTCACCGGAGCCGGCACCATGCTGTGTGGGATTCCAGCCTCCAAAACCAAGCTAAAGAAACCTCTTTTCTTTTCAAAGAAGCCAGCTGTGAGTATCACGTGATGGTCAGTGAAAATGGAACAGTACAGCCAAGGGAGACTGAGCCAAGGGCTCTCAACTCGCAGGACAATGACCTGACCTTTTCCTCAACTGTCTTCCATGGCCAGCAACTCACACCACAAAGCTAGAGACAAATGAAACGACTGTATAAGGTTTTCACCGGAAAGCAACTGTAAGAATATGGAATATGTTTTATTGCCCAGAAGTAAAGCAATACTGGCAACAAGTTTATCTCTGGCTCAAGTGGTTTAGGTTGGTCAACGTGTACCCCAAACTATCACCAGCCTGACATTCTGAATAAAGCCATGAAAACAGAGTTATGACAAACACCCAGCTCATCTCCTCTGAGATTCCACCTGCGTGGATGAACACTCAGATGGGTCTTTCTGTGGGACCCTTTCTGTAGTCACCACTGTGTTAACAGAAAAGACACCAGTTAGAAAATGTATGAAAAACTATTCAAACACATCCAACCTAAATAAAATGCACCTATCTGCACGTTACTTGTGAGCAGGCAATTATCTGTTTTTTTCACAAACAACTGCATTACTTCATAAAGAAACTATGGTTAATGACATCATTTGAAAAGAAAAAGTTAGATTCAGAGATACAGTGACTCACAGCAACAGATCATTCAGATGTCTGTGACATTCAGGTAACTGCACTTATGTGGCCAAAACCTTCAGAAGACTGAACCAATTTTAAATGGAAGTCCTAGGCACAAGAAGATGAAAGCCTCCGAGTGTGAATTCAGGTTTCCCTTCGGGACCATTAATCTTCACATGTCAGTTGGACTGGATTAATGGATGCCTTACAGATTAGTACAGCATGATCCTGGGTGTGCCTGGTGGGTCACGGATGGGCAGTCTTGGGCACCGTATCTGGCCTCTGGCCCCTTCATCTCTGATGCTGTCCCCCTGCTCTGTTTCCTGGCCATGAACGAGGCAGCTCTGCTCTGCTACGCCCTTCCACCATGGTGTTCCTGTCTTGAAACAGCCAACCATGGACCGAACGCCCTGCAGCCGTAGGTCTCACTAAACCTCCCTTCCTTTGCACTGTGGGTGTCAGGTAATAAATCCCAGGGACCACTACACCCTCAGAGTAAAAAGCTGCTCTGGGCATTATTCAACTAAACGAGAACTTGGGAAAAAGATTCTTGACACAAGATGACTGTGCTTGGTTTGGAGTAAATGTGACCAATCTTCCAGTAGTCACAGGTAGCCAAGTCACTGATCCTGGTCTGAGCGGGAATGAAAGAAGAACACTCAAAACGGTAAACGTCTGTGCAGTGAGGTCATCAGTCAAGGTCATGGGTATTAAGCAAGGGCCTCCTGTCCCGAAGGCTCCATCTCCCTTGAGGGAAGGCACTGTCACTGGAGTGGGTCTCCTGGGTCCCTTTTCCCAGCTGAAGTTGCCAGAAGGATGTAGGAGGAAGCAAGTGTACGTGATCACTCATCTTTTCCTTTTCAGACCTGCTGCTTAAAAAGCATTCTAATCAGCCCCGTGAGGATGTGGCCCTGAGACTGTTTGGCAGGGGCCAGCTGGGAAGTCTGGCCAGATGTGGACGAGCAGCTCCCAGCCCCATCCTGGACACATCTACATGGTGTCCTCTGCAAAGTCTTTATCTGTTAATGTTAATCCCCACTTCTCTGACACCCTGATGGTCTCAGTTCTGAGCTCATGTAAGGGCAAGGGGTGCTATCCACCATGCCTCTACCAGCCCCATACCTCTAACCACCTCCTGAATGGTGACAGTGAGCACCACTGAGTGCAGGAGTGGAATGGACCACACCTCCTGTCCAGTGAGGCTGTGATGTGATCAATCACAACACAGCTGGCTTAAAACAGATTTTAATTCAAGTCCAGAGGCCTTGAAATACGACCCTAAGCCTCCAGCAAAGATGCAACGTCTCACAGCCAAGCTGTGTCCTGAAACTCGATTTATAAACTCCTGTGCACCCTGGGACTGTTTCCCCAGAAAGATAATAGAAGCCAGAGTGCAGTGCATGTGGGTGAAGTCGCTGGGGCTAAGCTGCTTAGATTTGAAACTGGATCTGCCACTTAAAGGATTTCACTGAATCCCAGACTGGGGCGATGGTTAAGATGCTTCATTACTTTACTGCCAGTGACAAAACACTTGCTTTTCAATGATGACACAAGGCCTTAACAACAGTCCCGAGACACCCATGAGTCATTCTCGGCAGCTCAGAGCACTCTGACATTTCTTTCATGCACTCAAGGAGACCTGGGAGTTCTCTTGCCATGTTTACATCTGTTTGCTTTGTGTGCATCTCAGTGATGAAACAAAACGCAGCCGCCTCCTCCCAAGTGAAGGTGTGAGAAAGCGGTGTTTGCCGCTCTTCTGCCCACGGTCAATGTTTGCTTTGCTAATGTCACAAGAACACTCCCCTCCGTTTCTCTCCTCGGTCTGATTCTGGCAGACTTTTCCCTTCAGGGCTAGCAGTGTGATTTATAAGCACATTTCGGAGAAGGACCATGACTGCCCTCTCAATTGCCTCCTCTTGATTTTCAAAACCAGCCTCTTTGCAAATGAACTCAAGATGCAGAGTGCAGGGCGGGAGGAGGGCAGGAGCATCAACAGCCAGGTGCCAGTCACCTGTGGGCAATGTCACCCCACTGTGGCCTCCAGCAGCCACTGACAGAGTGGAGACCGCACTCCAGCCAGCTGGCCTCTCCGCCCTCCCACCTCCTCACTGGTGATGGGGCAAGGGCCCCACCCACCGCTGAGGGCTGGCCTCAACTGGGCACAAGGCTTCTTAACCGACAAGGCTCCCAGGCGACCCTCAGAAATCCCTCCTACCTGCTAGGACAGTTATAGTAATGGTGAAAAGCTGTCCAGCCTGCATGCTGCGCTGGTGTAGAAGAGGGTGGGATGCAGGCCACCAGGCCCCAAGGTTGCTGACAACTCCCTATTCACTATCACTATGTGCATGTCAATGGGGAAGAAGAGGAGGAATAAAGGCAAGTTTTGCCCCAGAGGCCCTTAAGGTCTCAGGATCTGGGTGTGGAAGAACAAGAGTGGAGAGGGAGGAAGACTGGGCTTGGAAGGAAGCTGGGAACTCATGGGCAGTGGCCAGGGCAGGGGAGAGGTGGCTGGAGCCCATGTGGAAGAAATAAAATCCAACATGCAAATCACAGGAAAGCGTGGTAACAAAATCCCTCAGGCTGGGCAACCTATTTGGAGTTCCCAGGGCCCCGGGGGCCAGGTCTTGTCATGTGGAATGGTATCATGAAGCAGGTGGCACGGTGAGACAGGCAGCTCAGAGGAGCAGGGGCCAGGCCTGTGCCTGCAGAACAGCCTGCTCTGCAGGAACAGAGGCCGATGTCCCCAGTGAGTTCGTTAAAGGTCACTGTGGTGCACACAGCCACACTGGGGACAACTCGACCGACATGGGAGTCCCAGATGCCTCATCTTTCTACTCCAGTACCCGGTATCCCGATTACTCTTAAGGAGAAAAAGGGATGGGAAAGCAATGTTTCTACCAGCAAGTGGCCTCCAGTGTGCACCTGGCTCCTGGGATGTGGGGCACATGCACGGCCTTGTGACTGCTGAGTCCAGGAGCTGTCTGGAAAGGCACGTGAAGCACCAACTCCAGATCGAGTGTGACAGCAGCAGACTCCCCCTGGACATTCATCCAAACCACCAGTGCAGCACAGGCACAGTACCAGGTGCTAAACTAGGCCCAGCAGCCACAAACTGCCTCTCCAGGCTCAGGGTCTCATTGAAGTAAGAAAGCCACGCCCCACTGTTGGGCCCCTCCCACAACCGGAAGTGCTAATCACCAGGCCTGGTGGTTGAGACTTCTGAGTAGGGAGGTATCCAAGGACTTCCCCGCAACACAGACTCCAACCTGGGGTCCGACCACCCAGGCCCAGGTGAATCATGGCAAAGGGGCAGTTTCTTTGGGGAGAACATGACACAAAGTTAGTCTGCAAAGAAGTGGTTCACCTGTTGAAAAGGAATTAAGACCTTTGGACAGAGGGAACAGGTTCAAGTTCCTGAGTTTTCAATATCCTTTTAACAACCAGAATTAACTACACAGATGTATTCCATGTTCTTTACCTGCCTATCTAGACTGGGAAGTCAAAATTCCAACCTATTCTATATGATACCATGTCACATCTGCTGGGAAAGGAGCACCTGGGACTCAACTAGTCTTTGATGAGGATAGTTTCAATATATGTGCTCTAACACTTACTTTAAAAAAAAGTTAAATGAATATAATGTCAAAATACAAATGCTAGCTGCGTGGGGGTGGAGGGTTCTGAGTCTTTTCTCTTTCATTCGGCAGGTATCTGTACTCTACATAAAGCACCACTATATCCTGAGAGGGAGAGAAGCTGTCTCAAGTTACAACTAGTGTGATCTGTATAATGCTGCTGATCAGATTAAATGCAGGTAATTACTTAGCCACGAAACTGTCACTGGCAATTAAATAAGCAGTGGCTGCCCTGAGCGTGAGCTTTGAAGTCGTGCCCGGTGGATACACTCGGGTGCAGCACCCCACTTTTGGGATAAAGGCTCATACATATGGCAGAGGGCACTGGATTCTACCACTGTTCGGGTCCTCCTGTGTTCTAAGTTCTGGTTCTTATTCCCAGTCTTTTTTTTTCTGTAATAAACAAAAACTTAAGAGAGCTGCTCCTACCAGTCTGCACACTTTTACACTAGAAGTATTTTTACTTCAAGAGAAATAATAAAGTCAACATTTCAAATACCTGGCCTCACTGAAAGTTAGTGGACAAGTTCTTTTTCCTTGTCATCTTCCAATGTCAAGGTCCCCGGGCTAGACACAGGCTGATGCTGAGGCAGCAAAGGTTTGCAGGTTGAGTCTGCACTGCACTGTCACGTGTGTGTAGCATGTATGTATATACGTGTGGTTTGAAAGTAAGTGTGTGGTATACATGTGACACTTATGTGTGTGGTATATACTTGTGGTTGTGCATGTGGTATGTGATGTGCGAGGTATATGCTTATGGTATGTGCATGACATGTGTTTATGGTATACATAGCGTATGTCCATGATGTGTGTGTGGTGCGTGTGTGGTGTGGGTACAGGATGATGCCCCATCCTCCCCACTCTCAGGCTCTACCACACAAGCCCACCCACAGCCGCATATTCTCCAGGAATCCTCAGGACTGCCCCTCTGAGCTGCCTGGCCGAGCAGGCAGAGACCCCGGCAAGTGGCAGCCTCACCCAGGGGCCAGCAAGCCTGAGTGCACAGCAAGCTGGGTGAATGCGTCCAGAAGACTCCCGGAGCCAAACACCCCGTCACCTGAGGGTAACACCTACTCTTTCGCTAACCTTTATTCCTATGCCTCCCCGTTCCAGAATACTTCGCTCCGGAATCGGAGAGCTCCAAGTACCCAGATGATCCTGACCCTGCAGGTCTGGGTCTGGCTGTGGTGCTGGACCCAGGCACAGGCTGCCTGCTGAGACCCCGCCTCACACCCTCAGCCTCCTGACAACTACACTACCACTGATGCCTCATTTCCCATTTCCACTCTGAAAAGTTTGCTGCTTTACTTTGATTGAGCAAAGCTGTCATCATTGGGTCCCTCAACAGAATCCGATTAGTCGTATCACCCACCTATTTAGTTCCCTTCTCTTCCAGGGGGAGAAGAATGCCTAGGCCCTCAGAGAAGCCCTCAGCTACACTTCTGAAACCAGCCCAGGGAATTCAGCTGAGAATACAAACATCTGCTTCAGGCCTTGCCCCCTACTGCGTACAAATGAGTCATGTTCCTTTTCAAGATTTCATTTTCTTTTTATGACGACAAGGGAAAAAAACGTGCAGGGAAGACAATGTTTTCTTGGTTACAAAAGCTGTCTTTGGTAAAGGGGGATCTCAAAAGATTTCTGTTTTGCCCCATTGGAACGTTTTCTTGCATTCTGTTGGTTAAGCATTCACTTGGTCTCTATACAGTCTTTTAAAGTTTTGACAGAATAAACTTGAAGGAAAAGGAAGTGCTGAAAAAATCTCCACCTCTCAGAAAAGTCAATGAATTCTACAAAAGTAAACAGCGTTTGAAAGAAGACAGCCCGCCCGGCGTCAGGTCCGTGGTGGAAGCCCAGTGCTTCCACCAGCAGAGAGGCTGCCTTCCCTGGGTCCCTGGGCACCTCCTGCTGAGCAGTGTCCCGCAGCTGAGTGAGTTTTAGAATCTGGCATCGAACGTCCTTGGCTTTTCATCCAAGCAAAGAAAACAGTGATAATGGATATCTTCCAGCTGCATACCTTCATGACACTCAATAGGTTTTATTTGGATTAAGAAATGCAACTGCTTTTAGAATCCGGAGGGGAGGAAAGCAAAAATGACATGTATACTTTAATGCCATCACGTTTTGAACTTGGGTCTCTCACTACATTTACAGTTTTTAAAAAGAGCAAAAATAAACAAGGCTCCAGTCTTGCCAGAGCCTAATGTAGGCACCAACAGGGTTCAGGGGTGAGTTCTGGCCTGCAAAGATTCAAACAGAAGTGGCCAAAAAGCTTAAGGAGGCTTGGGTGTCACGGTGCACTTTTTAACCTTACTAACCTGACTTGTTGGTGCAGCAAAGAATTTAACTGATCCTGGAAACTGAACTTGTCAAAGTCTGTTGCGGGTACACATGGAGTCTCTTGCTATCGCCTATGAGGGCACTACCAAAGAATCCCAGGCTGGCCAACACAAATGCCCACTTACCCTGCTAAACTCTTTGACCATTCTAAGATTTCACACCATTTCCTTCAGAAGTAAAACTTCTACCGAAATAACTGATCAAGCTCCCTCTGCCGCTACAGAGCTTATGAAGGACCAACCCTGGCTGCAAAGAAGGCACTCCCCAAACCGTTCTCTTCAGTTTAGGCCGATCAGTACCCATTTTCTGTTAAGACCACTTCAACCTAGTAAGAATCAGGGTGGGGGGATACCTGATGTTTTCTGTCACTTTGCGCAATCCTAGCTAATTAGGACAAAACATTCTTAGATCCTGCCTGAACATTTATAAAACGAACAACTCTTCCAAACTCTGTTTATTTCAACCATGCATCGACTCCAAACTCCTTGCTCGATCTCAGTAGCTCTTTGGACAACTTTTGTTTTCACAATTTAGCAAGTGCAGATGCATTGTGAAATCGCATCTCCTTGTGCAGTTTATCCATGTCCTCCAATGACACTTCGCAGACCTCCCTGAGCATCCCAGGTTCTCTCCATGCTCACACCGTCTGGCTCCACGAGGCTGCTCTGATGCTTCCTCCAGTTACTCCTGGTCTACGCCCCTGACCCCAGCACACCATCAGCTCCCCCCACCCCGCACCTTGCAGCTACCCGGGACTCTGGATGGCCAGCCGGGAGCTCTTTAGCCACACCAGCCTTTTTGATACCTGCTGGCTCTCAGCATCGCAGCTAGAGCAGAGCAGGAGTGAATGCAACCCTAAGAGGGAGGAAACACAGCACAGGACCGGCTCTGACAGCTCCTTCTGCAGCTCAACAATGATTTATGGCAAAAATCCTGTTGATGCCAGTTTTCAGGTCATTTTTTAATTATAAAAGTCTCCTGATCATTCTATTTTTTTCTTCAGAGTTCACCACTTTTTGGGGGGACAAGTTCGCCTGTTTCATCTCTCTCCTTCTCTCTTTCCTTTCCTGTGTGTGGCAGCTGCTGTTTGATCTGCTCATTGGCTCTGATTTGTTTCATGTTTCAGCCAAAGATTAAAACTGCTCTGTAATTCTAAGCAGATGGGCCCAGGAGTCCAACCCTGTAATTATACCTTCCTCTCTTTGCCCTGCACTGCAAGTGCTCCGTGCTGACTTTTACAGTGCTGGGATGTCCGGGCCAGGCACACCTCAGCAGGCAGGCAGGTCCGAACCAACCGCGCGCAATCACAGCGCCTGGGGGCTGCGACCGCCTGCCCGGTAGGGCTACAAAGAAAACCCTCCTCGCCTCGGCCCAACTCTGGGGTCCCGGCCCGATCCTCCTTCCTGGCTCCAGCTGCAGGTCTGGGGGTCGGGCCCCGGGGAAGGAGCGCTGTGAAGGGATCCTCAGGACGTCAGGTGTCCAAGCCCGGGACAGCGCTGCGGACGGCCCGGCCCGGCGTGCTCAGCCCCGGCCTCGGCTCTTCTCAGCGCCCGCACAAAGCCGGCC